AGACGACTTACAAATGAGGAATATATATATATATATATATATATATTTTATATAATTTATAAGAACATATAATCTGAGAATTACCAGTATTGGAATGAATGGAATTTCATTAAGTTCCTTAAACTTACAACTCAAGATTGCTCAAAAACAGTCCAAATTTATCAATTTTAAATTTATTTCTGACAAAACAACTTAAATATTGCTCAAAGTTTTCAAACAAACCAAATTAATTTTGCTTGCATAAACTTTCACTTTCAGATGGAAAAGTGATCGATTTTTTTTTTTTTATTCCGCAGTGTTTCATCAATTCATCAACACATTCATGCTTATCAACAAAATTCAGTCCCAAAAGTGTATGAGATGTTAGAAAAAGATTAAATATAGGCCTATTTACAAAAGTGTTAAGACATTAATATAACTTCATAGATCATTTTACAAAGTATTTTTGACACTAATGGTACTCCATATAAATGCAGGCCAAAATGAACCAAACGCAAAAAACCTGTAATCTCTTTAAAAATAAAGAAAAAAAGTGGTTCTTAAAGCATTCAGAAAGTTTAATGTGTTTTGAGGGCTAATGTGTGTTTGTGTGTCTCCGCAGCATGGATTCGTGGAGTTTTTCCACGTGGAGGATGTGGAGTCTGTGATTCGTAATGCTTTGATGGCTGTGGTGGGATGCGCTGGGATCGGCGCCGGTCTCGCTTTCCTGATCCGGTGAAACTCCACTACCGTATCGCTCTTGTGACCGACGCTGAAGCACTCGGAAGCGTGTCGTCTGGAGTCAAACTCCTGCTGTGCTCCGCTGGACTCGGCTTTAAGCCCCACATGCGCTCTCACCATCCCAGCATGCACAGCACAAAGATTGGGCTCGCCGTGAGCCAGCGACTAGCAAGATTTTTATTTTCTCGATCTATTTTTCTAATAAAAAGCATTCAGAAATGCATATGAGGTGCTTGCATCATTTGATTTCATTGCTTCACTTTGCAAATGTGTAAACATTGAGAGAGAGATATGTGTGTGTATATCTAGATGAAACATAGCGTTAATGTGGCTTTTGGTGTTCAGCAGCTCCTGAGTTCCTGATAATGAATCTGGTTTTGTTCAGATTGACCTTTAGTCAAAGAGAAGCGAGACGGACCTCATGTCAGAGTCTCTTCTGTCAACTGGAAAGTGAAAGAAAACTTCTCTAACGCGCCGCCAAAAAATTCCAGTGCCACAAAGACTTTCACTTGTATTTCAGTATGTATTGTAGGCAATGAAACTGTGGCTTATCAAACTTTAACTGCATACTGGCATTGATTGTCCAACTATAATCGGAAGCTGCATCTTTTAAATTGCAGTAGGATCCTAAATGCAAGGTTTCTATTTGCAAAAAAATCAGCTTTTTACATTTTATTTTTAAATATTTAGTCAACTGTGTAATTTGAGTGAAATGAAGTTAAAAGCTGCGATGGTAAGAACCTGACAATGTTTAATCAGTCTAACAAGTAAATATGGTTCTTCAGTTTTTTCATTTTTAGTACATGCGTTTGTGCAAATAAAGCTAATATGGATTTTATAAGACGTTTGTGAAGGTGTTTTATATGGGCTTCAAAAGAATAGTTTATCCATTGCTCTGCAGTGAATGGGTGCCGTCAGAATGAGAGTCCAAACAGCTGATAAAAACATCACAGTAATCCACAAGTAATCCACAGCACTCCAGTCCATCAGTTAACATCTGGAGAAGACAAAAGCTGAAACAAATCCAGCATTAAGACGTTTTTAACTCAAATATGAGTCTATAATCCATAACTCTTCCTCCAGTGAAAAAGTGCATCTGCTGTTGTCTCTCACATCAAAATCCAGCCACATATGTTGTTTAGAGCTGTTTAAACTGTGCTTGATCTGTGCAGATTTCTCTCCTGATTCACACCAGAACACTTTTTCACTGGAGGAAGAGTTATTATGGATTATGAACTCTATGGTATTTTAGTTAAAAGCGTCTTAATGCTGGATTAGTTTCAGCTTTTGTCTTCTCCAGATGTTAACTGATGGACTGGAGTGCTGTGGATTACTTGTGGATTATTGTGATGTTTTTATCAGCTGTTTGGACTCTCATTCTGACGGCACCCATTCACTGCAGAGCATCCATTGCTGAGACACTGATGCAATGCTACATTTCTACAAACCTGATGAAGAAACAAACTCATCCTAATCATCCTAATTTTTCATTTTCAGTACTTTTTCGTTAA